AATTTAGTTTTATTTTAAACTATATATCGAAGTGATTACATAATTGAGTACTGAAGATCGAGAGCATATAATGACGCACTTGCTCTCGTCACTCCTTTCCCTCCTACCTCCACCATCTCCCCAATCCTCTTCCCCCAACACTATGTTGTTGCTCTTGTTCTCTCTAGCCCAGTCCTCTGCCTACAAGTGTCCCACTAGCGGGCACTCTGCCTGCTTCAACATAGGCAATAAACATCACCATACTCGTCTCTCCAATCTGCCGCTGCGATGCCCACACTGAGCCTCAGATCCTGCAATGATGCCACCGAGCTGACTACACCGTCCTTCATCGTAAATCGTAAGCAGCCAGTCCACTTCATAATAACTCGCACAATGGTTGCTCATCCCTCTCCTCCCAACTTTTTGTCTCCCTTCCACCCCTCCTGCTCCTCGCTCCGCCACTTGCGTTGCCTCTCCTTCATTGTCCTCCTTTGTTTACACTTGCCTTCCTTTTTGCATTTGCATTCACACATCTGTATTGTTGACCAATGCCAAACGACTTCTTTAATGTTTCCATACATTTGCATACTTCCTGCTCTGTAGTGCAAGCAACAGTCGACAAGTGCATGCTTGCGACAATACCAATGTACAACCACTCCCATGGTACGACCCTCTCTTCGACGCTGTATGCGCTCTCCTTCCCTACCCATTCTATGCTTAACATCACTCTCTACAGGTCCACCCCACGTGCATTCACATTCCCTAGTGTAGCAGACAACACCATATCGAACGGAAGCAGTGGACCGCCACTTACCCCTCTTGAGCTGAGTCTGTCCATACATTCCACTTTGCCTTCTCTGTTCGAGCCGGTACGTCCCAGAGATACACCTTTGCAATCCACAAAAACGACTCAGTTCACTGCTCCCCCAATTGCACGTCACAGTCAGAATATGTAGCATACATGTACTGATACAGCTTTGTCTACAGCCTGAATCAACTCGTTCAACGCTCCGGATCTCAACCTGTATACACTACTCACACTCACTACATACTGTTGCAGTATGTCCACCTTTTATCTCCTATTGTCACTTGCTAACTACTCTAAACCTGTCTAACAGGCACAGCCTCAACCTCCACAACCTGCTCGACCTCAACATGCAATTTGACTCACAGGTCCTGAGTGACGACCAAACGTGGTGACAAAGACTACATCAAACGGCCTGAGGATGTGTTCATCCTTTTCCAACACAAATCCCACTCACAGAATAATGAGGCAGAGGCAGCTGGTAGTGTAGAGGTTGGGACTGTAGAAATAGTGTATTATTTCCTATTTTTGTATTCTATAATTTAAATATAATTATATTTGATTAATTATTTGACATAAATTGTATAGTAAGCAAAAGAATTTAAGAAAGCTATTCAAACACTTGTAATGACTTGTAAGCATTATAAGCAGATATTATACTGTCACAAATTAATAAGTATGTCTTAACCTTGTAATTTAGGCAGTATATTATAATCACTTGTATAACTTGACAATTTATAAAATTATATTGGAAATTGTTACAATTCTCCACTCTTGTACCTTCAGTTCTGAGGGTTCTGCACCCTTCTGTACTGGAACTCAGGACTTCTGTCCCTCAGGGGCACTGTCTATAGACTATGTGTACTGACTCTTACTACTACCCTTCCTTACTTCATCATTCCATTCCTTTGACCACCCCTTCATTCTTTGTTCATTCTATAGTCTCTTACCCTTTGTCCATCCCTTCATTCTTTGTACCTTTATCTTTGACATTCCTTTCTTTCATTCTTTGTGGCTTATCATTCTTAGTGGCTCATACTCTCTGAGTACTCTTGTATTAGTTTAGTATA